TGTTATGATTTTACTAATTAAAATCTTGTGTAACAATAGCTCGGAGGGTCATTTTGTTAGCAAAAGCCCCATATAAGCTACGTAGTGAAACGTCGAGTTATAAAAAAGTAATTTAAAACATATAAATAAGTTATCAATTGATTTACAAATTTCTCCCGATGAATATGAATTTGCTTTTGATCGAACATGTACCAAAGATACCAATCATCGATCATGTGTAATTTGTCATACATTAACAAAACAAAAGTTTAAATTTGGTTTAAAAACATGGAATGTTCTTTATCTTCATTTTTTAACTCGTTCACCTAAAAAAAAAAAATGAAGTTCAAAAAAAACATAATCAAACAGTTGTTGCTTAGATCAAGGCAACTTTATATATTACTTGTTACTATGTCTTTTATACTTGTGTTTAAGTATTTTCAAATTTCGTATGGTGGTGGTTATGGCATGGATATGTTGGACAAATGCTTGGAAACAAACAATTTTGGTGTGGACAATATGATTTTTGATTATGACGAGCAACCAAAAAAAATTGATGTAGCAATACAAAGTTATGAAAATAAGTTAGATCCAATAAAATCGGAATTCCATCAAACTAAATTTCAAGTTTGTATTAAAGGTACGTACATAGTAATAGTTAAAATGATAAGCGAGATGTGCAATTAGATTTTCTTGCACATGTGAATTGGTGTAACTTTATAACGATAAATTTAATTTTTTTATATAATAGCATTGAAAAAAAACTATCTTGTTACGGAAAAGATTATGATTTTCATTGAACCACGGTATGTCAATCACTTATTTTAACCCGGTTATTTCTGATTTATATTAATTTTCCAAACCTTTTTTTTGTTTATTAAGACACCCAGAGCTAATCGGAAAATTATCAAGATCATATTTCAGAGTCCAAATAATCGGTTCCCGAATATTTTCACCACAGCGCGTTAAATCAACCAATTCCAGTTTTCTAATCTATGAATCTTTACTACAAGATCCAGGTCGTTACACCCTCCAGGTTCGATTAATGTTTTACGACTATCCCAACATATATTCACTTGAAACTGTTGATCCGAATCATTATCCTAATATCAAATTAATTGACGAACCCATTGTTAACGGTAACTGGAATTTCCGAGTGAGTCCAAAAAGAAATTGGAAATGGTTGAACCCCAAATTGCCTAAAACTTGTGACGGAATTAATTACTTGACTGGACGATGGACCAATGATCTAAAGATATTCCTCCCATACAAATGCCAAATTCCAAAATACGAATTTTTTGATTTTCCTGAAGCGCTTCAAATAAATGATAAATTTAGGTATAGTTGGATAAGATTTCTGGGAGATTCGAATTTAATAGCGTTATTTCAAGTACTCATGAACCGAATTGGAGCAAAATGCATCAAGACACTTGAAAATACCAATCAAAAAATTCAATATGTTTGTACATTAACCTATGATATGGAGAAATCGAACAATAATACACTTCCACGTGAATTAGTTTTAACGAACGAATTGTACTTTCCTGAAAGTTCCAATGATCTAGAATCTTTATTAAATTCCGCATTTTCAGAAAATTGTCAGCCATTTAAGGAATGTAAAGATAAGTTTCAATGTGGTATCACTAAATTTCATTCGACTGAATCGACAGAAATTTGTAAGGCAAAAACAGCAGATTACGTATTCGTTTCTATAGGGTCACGTACTTTAGAATGGAGTTATTCGCGTATGGATGAGTATCTTAAAAGAATTTTCTCAAATATTCAAGAAAATCAATCGAATGGGAAGATAACATTTATGACAACAAATGCAATGAATGTTCATAATATTCCTAAAGAATATGGGAGTCAGTATTTGATTCGAAATAATTTTAGGATTGATAAAATTAACAAATTGTTGAGAAAATATTTGACTCAAAACAACACGGAAATGGTTGACTTAATCGACATTTGGTCAACCACGCAACCAATATGGGAATTTTCCAGGGATGCAATACATTATTACAGAAATGTTTATGACGTTCAAGCTCAGTTAATCATTGATAAATTGATTGAGAGGTTAAACAAATTATAGACATTCAACTTTTAATTTAATGGCTATCTGTTTGCTGTACTAATTTAGTAATATACAGTTGTAAAATACTTATGACTATTCTTTTTTTAAAGAAAAACATAATAATAATGATAAAAAGTTCATTATCAAAATCAGAATAACTATTGATGCCAAAATTTTGTTCTAGTGCGAAATCTAATGTATTTTTTTTTTATAATGGTAGTTTTAGTCGGGCCGCGAGCCAAACAACTAAGCTGAGCCGTTTACGTAACAGTTTGGCTAGTGCTCCTAATCGAACGGGTTGTACTACCGTAAAAGTGCATATACAAGACCCACCAAAATAGTAGACCCACCGTGAATCAGACCCGGGTCTATAACCTGG